ATGCTTATGCTTGCTATAGGAGGCTCTTCTCAAATAGGGATATTTTCCTATTTCGACAATATTAATTTACTAACTTTTGGTTAATTTATGGCTTTCTTTAAGCATGAATCTTCGATGGTGCGGATAGCTGGCCGAAAGATCTCAGATCACAATTATTAAGCGCAACCTTTGTTAAATATCGCAATTTTTTCTGCATTATATTATATCCTAAACTGAATAGTCGAGCATCCATGCTCCTTTGGCACGTCTATCTCTTATCGCCATGATTCATCCCATACTATTTAAAGGCCCAAATTCTGGCATTTGCTAGGGTTAATTTTGATCATTTTGAAATATTGCAAATCTTCTGCTCACTGCTACAGTGCCTTTGCTTGCTCTGGTTATTCTAAAGTGATGAAAATCTTATTCTCATGGATATTTGTGCAATAGTGTGGCTAAAAGTATGAAGTACGTCCATTTATACATTATAATATCGGTGAGGTTTAAGTGTAACTAACACTGGATCTGTAGTTACAAGGGAAACCTTATTCGTTCCTATTTCAGAGCTTGTTCGCAATGTGCAGATCCATTAATTGAAGAGGACTTACGTCCTGGATGCCTTTTAGAGTTTTATGCTGATAAATGGCAAGCACTTCTAGATGTCAATCTAGAAATTATTTGCCGATCTCTTATTAACTATTTTTCACCTTTTGTCTTACTTGGAATGGCGTAATTTGGAAAATGCGGATCGATTGATACGGGTCTGCTGACCCCTTTAAGCGGGGATGGATATAATGGGGTATATAATTTGCCTAAAGCTGACCTAAAAAAATCAGGGTATGCTGAGCTTATTGCGGAATTGCTACTCTTGTCTCTTACTTGCTGTTAGGGGACCAATACAGGATCATATACTCAATATAGCTACGAATGTTTTTGTCCATTGTCTACAGAGAGTTAAGTATTTTCTTTTATTGCTGGACAACGCGAGACAACTAGGTATGAAAATGGTTCAAACTATTCTACCAAATTCACATCCATCCTGCTCGATTGACCTTCTTTTGTACATTCGTCTTATTCATTGGAATACAGATGGAAAATAAAAAGATATAGGACGCACTAGGGTATAGCCAGTCTTTCCAGTATGCTTAGGAACTCTGATTATATGGAATTCACTTAGGATTCATTTGGACACGCTAGTGCTGCTACATCTTTTTGAACTAATTAATTAAGGGTTTTTATTTACTACTTCGTATTGCCTTTTCGCAGCTAGCGATAGTCTGAGGCTGCTCCATTGCACGAGTTTTTTTAACGTAAATATCTTTACAAGGCTTAACTTAGCATTGCTAAATCATTTCTAACTAAAAAGCTCTTTTAATCCTTTTTACATCCATAATTATTTTGTTTCAGTGCATCAAATTTACTCTTTCTCTTTATTTTGATTTTAGACGCAGATTCTATCTCACACCACCTCGACAAGGGCACGTTGGGAACCCTTTTTTCACTCTCCTCTGGCCCTACTGAGAGCAGTGATTCCTCAGCCGTTATTCCTCATCTTAATAGCTCTTTGGAGTCTAGTGTTGAAATTGATGAGAATAACAAGTGTGATAAAGGCAAAGCTGTTGCACACACCACCACTGTTTATGAAGCTACTACCCCCACAACTGTCAATACCACCAGCGGGACTACCAGTATAGGTGTCAATGCGTTGCGGCTGAGCGAAGAAGCTTCACTTATCTCTTTTGCCGGCAATTCCAGCATGTCAACAGCCTCAAACAATGCGCTTATAGTGGCCGCGGTCGCAGCCGAGGCGGCAGCTGCTAAGGTATATAATTATTGTCGTTTTTTGTATTTCTTGTTTGTATTTATTTAAACTAAAAAAAAACTATACACCATTGAGTAAGGAGAAATGGAATCGTACCTATTCTTTAATTATTTTTGAGTACTCTACTTTCCTGGGCTCTATGAGCACACACAAAGTATCAAATTCTTACAAAGTTTATTTAATTCCTTGTTCAGTCGTTGTTTAATTATCTATTTTAAGCACGAAGCTCCTGACTACCCAGGTTGGAGACTTACTAATTCCATCTTTTCATGATCGGCACTCGTGTTGTACTATTAACTATGATGACATGTGCTTGACGGATTTTACTGAAGTTGGTATTCAAAAGGCTTAAATACTAGCGGCCTATTTTTTATTACAAATTATGGCAACCGTTAGAAAAACTTCTACTTCTATTAAAAAGTTTAATTCCTCTTTATCAGCTTTGTTATTT